CATTTAAATGAGTGCGAGATGAGAAGAACTGGGCGTTTTTGGCCAAGAAGAGGACATGCAGTTTTTTTAATCTTTTTTTAAAATGAACACTAGCTTGTTAATGAGCACTCAGGGCATTACTTTGGAAGGTTTTGTAATACCGATTTAACATGCATGTTTATAGAGTTTGGAAAAACTGCAAGTGTTACTTAGTTACATATACTATTAGTTACAACTCGTTATCATATAGGCGTTTTACTTTAAACAGCAAGTCACAGTCACACAATTAAAAAAATAACTTAATTAAAAAAGCATATTCTTTATGAAAACAAAAATATCATAATATTAACAGTAATAATAATAAGAATTAATTAATTAATTAATTAAACCTGACAAATAATACAGAAAACAAAAAAAAAAAAAATATGATAATAATAAATATAAAAATAACAAAAGTGAAAAAAATTAAACCTGCCAAATAATGCTGAAAAAAATGTAACGGCAATTGTTTTTTAATAACATATGACCAAGACAATCCCGACAAAAATTATCAAAAAATAAACCCAAAAACAAGGTAATTAGGACTAAATGACTGCTGATTGCTCATTGTCCTCCTTACTACTTGGTTACATGAACATTAAACATTGCTTTAATTTGAAATTATTTCATTATATGATAAAAAAAGAGACCAGTCCAGTGATACAAGAGACATGAAACTATAGCACAATGCCAGAAATTAGTTTTCAGGGTCATTGAACAGTGAGAATGCAGCGAACGACCAATCCAGAATCAAGGATTCAAGTAATCTGAATAAAGAGTGGGTAATAAATAAATACAACTCATCTCGCAATGGATGTTTTGCTAGAGAGTGAAAGTACAAATGCACCAAACTCTCCTTAGTTGGTCAAATATATTACGGCATTAAAAAATGGCCCAGTCCTAAAGAGAAGTCCAGAGGACCATTCCTCTCAGCCCAGATGGCCTCACGTGTGTATTTTCCTCTCTAACATTTTATTTTTATATTTAATAATCACATAAAAAAAAACTTACTGTGGTGAACCAGTCTTATGAGGTTACGGGGCCGGAGGATCTCAAACCGGTCTCTTTAATTCCATTCCTCACTCAGCGGGTCACGCTCAATTTTTCCCAATAGATTCGTGGCCAGCCAGATCACACGGTTCTCATCTTATCATCCTCCAAGACCACTGCCAAATAATCACAAGGCCAAAGTGTTTATTTATTTGTTTGTGCTGTGTTCTGGAGTCCAGAAGAACAATAATTCACTCTTGTTATAGATGGGTACTGGAATAATAAACTGCTCATAATATACCACAACACACACAGGATTCATTTTGGTTGAAATGTTTCAAAAAGAAAGAGGGAGTCCTGCAAAGATTTTTCCATTATCAAAAAGATTTACAACTTCAGTCTATCAGCAGAACAGAAGAGACGGAGTCAGATGGAGGACGTGGTGAAAGAACTATTTAAAGACTGACGGATCATCGAGTGAAAGAAAAAAATGATTACGATCTATAAAACGGTTCCTTTATCCACACAATACTGCATCAAAACACATTGGTATATGGGTGCCACAGGCCACAGGGAGGGAGGTGTGGGGGTGCAGCTGGCTCTCTCTCTCATTAGCCGAGTGTTTGGATCAGGAGTAGCTCTTGTTACAGCAGTAAACTGCAGCTTTGAACTTTTAATAGAGCTCTGAAATCCAAGCAGCCTTTAAAATACACATTTCTGCATAACAGAAAGAGATTGAAAGAAAGACTGAGAGAACGAGGGCCACGGAGAATAGGAAAAGGCACAAGGGGGGACTAAACGTACGAGGGACAGAAAGCTGAGAGCTTACTAAAAGAGATTTCATAGATCTTAAACCACTTGAACACTCAATAGTGAAAGTCCCAACGGCACATAATTTCGCATCAGCGATCGGCCCAGATGTGGCCCTCGATAGAGAGCCCTGTGGGTCAGAACCAAAGGTGAGGCCTTAACAAACCAGTTCTAATGAGGCAGAACTGGGTAAACAATTGCATTTATCATGATTGACAGGTTGACATGATTGATGTGATACTGCAAAAGATGCTTCTTTCGGTTCACATGCTGATAAGCAACGTCTTTTTTTCTTTTTTGGGGTTATTTAAAATCTACTTCATGCTTAAAATATTTATGTGTACAATAACAAAATAATTTCCAAGGTATTGCCAGTGAATTAGGTCACAGTAGCTGGGTTATAATGTATGAGAAGTCAACAAGCCTGTTTAACGGTAAAAACCTTTAAATGGCGAAGCAGAAAAGCGTCCATTTGTAATTTGTATGTGAGAGTCCTCCGTTGTCATTTGCTTTCAGTTATTTTAGCTGTACATAAACAGTCTGCATGCATGCTTACAAAAAATAATTAATTATCATAACCAAACACACTTGCTTGTAGCACAAAAATATTTATGGTTTACTGCACTTTGGTTTTCTTTTAGTTAGCGGTCAATGAATTAAGAAACTACAGCTTCCGTTTTGCAAAATCTATGGATAATGAGTAAACAACAATATTTTAATAACTTCAACATGTACTCTTGGACTTTGATCTGAATTTGATATATTGAGGTAATATGTATATTGCAAGGTTATAATGTATATGAAGACTGTCATTCACATTTCTGAAAATGTAAACAAAAAGCGGGGCAATAATTGAGATGTATATAAAGTTTGACTAAATAACATGCTCCACTTAACAGTGTGCAAGATTGTTTATTTGAGCTAAAATCTATTTACAGGCCACAGAGGAAATAAAAGGTTATAAGCAGAACTCATTTGATCATTTTTTCTGAAAATGTGATCATTTTTTGATCATTTGATCATTACTTAGCACATCTGAGTAAAACATATGTAGACCGTATGTACGTAAATGCCAGAAACTGCATCTTGCAAATTCAGTTAAAACACTCCAGCTTAATTTGACACTGTCCAAACAAGTAGGATATTAAAGCCTCCCAACTTCACTGACATATCCGAGTTAAACTGGAGGGCCACAGGGTTAACACGTGGGAAAAGACACACAAATATATATACATTCATGCCCTCGGGCAGACTCAGCACCCCCTCTCCCCTGCTGAAGTCTCTAATCATGTCCAGGAACACGAAAGACGAGTCTAAACGCATTTTCCCAGGGTTCACAGCAAGCGAGACCCACCCCTGCCAATCAATGAGAGAGAGGTCAGGTGGACAGAGGTGTCACATGACATCACAGACAGGTGGACTACGCAGGTGATCTCTGATGAAAATTAAATGACTGGAACCATTTGTTGGTGAATTTCTGTGGCTCAGTTATATTATAAAGGAGGGAAATAGAAACCAGTGTATCAAATATAACCGCAATGCCATAAAAGCAAATTTGAATATTAAATTTGTTAAATGGAACATATTCACCATGACTGACACCGAGATCATTCCTTTTAACTCCACGTAGGCCACAGAGAGAGAGGGATAAAGAGTTTATGTTATTTTTCATTTCCTGGGAATTGGCCTTGTTTCCTTGTTTCCACAGCTCTACTGCTGTGCTTCCGTACGCAACTTATCGGATCGCTTATCAGTCCGTTTGAAGCGCTCAGTGTCTCCAAACCCCATGCCTGCACCCACGATCCCAGCTTGAACATTAAATATTCCTTCCTTCAACAGAATGGCGACGTTCCAGAGTCAAAGCCTACATGGCTAAGCAAATAAAAGAAGCCATTGCATGTATCTTGGCAAAGACACATCATCAGATAAACAGTTTCAAAAAGCCAACATAAAACTATGCGCAACCCGAGACAATATCAACAAATACGTCCTGCGCATTTTCAGAGTGGGATTAGACAGAGAGCTTCATGGTTTAATACAAACAAACACACTGGCCGAGCATGAATAGTAGTCTGCCTTTAATTCTCTCTAATATGTATAATAATAAGCTGAATATAACATATATATATATATATATATATATATATATATATATATACACACACACACACTTGATGTCATATTAATATATCTTCTGAATTTGCATATTGGGATGACATTTTTGCATTTTAAATTGGGTAAACTATTGAAGTCAGGCATAGGCAAACTGTAAGGTCAAGTGTCGGCTTTAGAAATAAATCAGTACATAAATAATTTAGCTATAAAACAAACAATATTTGTAAGTAATTTCAAATCTTAAAAGAAAAAAAAAGAGCCTACAATGCAAATACGTCCAGTCTCTAATATCTAAATATACTAGGCTATAAATATATATTCACACACACACACAAACATGCATGTGAACACACGTTAAAATAACTTTTATTTAAAAAAAATAAATAAATAAATAAATAAAAGTCTGAACGGTTATGGTAGCCTAAAGTTTCTGAAAAAGAATCATAAAAAGGATTATGAAATTAATAACTGTTCAGAGATGTAATGCTGTTACTGCTATTAAATTACTGGCACTTTCAATATTTTTATTACTAAAATGACTACTAAAAATTATTCAAAATATTTCTAACACTAAACGGGTCAGTCTAGATAAAAAAATGACTTTTTATAGTTTAAATAATAATAATAACACCAACACCAACAAATTATTATAATAATATGACATTATTATTATGCATACATTTTCCTATGGTGATATCACCACATTCTAACCGTTTACTATTTAGACATCTGATTCATAAATACTTCAAATCAATTGAAACTTAAATTTCAAATAATATAGTGACTTTGACATTTTTCTAATATCTAAATGTATTATGTGACAAAATTGCTGAGCCAGTTTGTTGATCTGTGCTGCCCTCTGCTGGCCCGTTCTCAAGAAATAATATGATTTCAAAATCTATAAGAGTAAAATGGGGCCTTTTAAAACAAATATAACTATTTGGAAATACACATATTGAAGTAAGTTGATGCCAACACAAAAGTTCTTCAGAAATTACTGTTGTTGTGACGTAGGCTACAAAAAGCGACTACAGCAACATTTCCCGACATGCACTGTACAAGTTGCCATAGCGCCACGTTGGTTTACCAACAAATATGGCGCACAGCCCGTCTCGTGTCTTTGCTGCAGTTTCAGCGACTGCTGGTGATGTTTACCGAGACGAAAACGAAGCGGTGTTCTATCAGGGCCGCAAGCAAACACCTTTACACATTCAAAGTAACGTAAGAGTGGTTCAGGTGACGGGCTGTGCGGAGATATCGTGTCCTTCGGACCGCGCGACCGTTTCCATCAGCGTCAAAAACAGTAAAGAAAATGTTAACGACGTGACTAACAGTGTTTCTCGAAGACTGGATTACGTAATACAGACTGCGAGACAGCATGACGTTAAGGTGCTTAATTGATTAAAATTTGCGTATTTATAAAAAATAAAGAACAAGCAATTGCAGTATCTTCTTTCCAAACAGGAAGAAAACATCACTGTGGCCAAACATTTACAAAGAGAGGGGGAGCTCTTCCACATGCACGCCGAGGTAAAATGGATAGAGATGGACTATCTTGTCAGATTATATGTTTGCTCTTTATTGATCTATTTTGTTTTTGCAGGTGCTTGTTGTCTTTTCAGACTTTGAGAAGATGCAGCATGCACGCTTAGTTTTGATTGAAAAACTAGACAAAAGCGTGTGTGTTGGTGACCCTTACTACAGTCACAGTGCTGAAAGCCTCAATTTGTTAAGGTGAACAATGTCTTCATGTAAAGCTCCATTGTAACATCCATCTGCTCTCTAAAATTAATTAATATGCCTGTTTGTAATGATTTGAATGCAGACGGCGAGTATGTTTGGAAGCAGTGGACAACGCTCGACTGAAAGCCAGCGAGGCGTGTGGCATTCTGGGACAAGCTCTGGGACGCCCACTGCTTATACGCGAGGAGGAATCACGAGAGTGGACCAGTGGCCAGCATGAAGTCACTGGCTCTCCTCTAACACTACATCAGAGGACTGGGCTTACATTAGTCTATGTCTCTTCACGTGTGTTTGTGACCTTTGAATTGCAACCAAAGGACAGCAACCGGAGGAAATTTTGAAGTTTTTCTTTAGCAATAATAAAATTACACAATTTTTTTTAAGTATCTGCTGACTAAACTGTGTTCTATGAAGTGAGTACCATATAGAGGACCACCAATATTCACCAAAAGTCCTAAAATAAAGATACCACATGTTCCATACTGATGTTTGAGATAAATAAATTCTCCAATCCAGAGTAGGATATTGAATAGCACTGTGTGCAACTCAAAAGGTAATGCTAAAAATTTGGTCCAAACCAATTAATTGAGCATTACTTAAGCATAATGGTAAAATCATATTTGCTTGTTAGAAAACACAGTTGAAATCTAAAAGACTATGAGTTAGACTTTCAGTGACAAAATGAGTTAGATGAACCTGCGTTTGAATAGGGAACACATACTCGTATAATGATGCATGTACGCATCTTGCACAAATAACGCATGTCATATTTGTTTGGTTTGAAAAAAAAAATTCTCATATTTCTAAAAACAAAAATTAGAGGCCTATAAGACTTCTGTTATTTATAGTGCCAAACACTATTATGTAATTATAACTATACAAGCAGGACAGGGCAGACTTCTTTCATTAATCAGAATGCCCTATATATGTTGCTTGTTATAGCTGGTAAAATAATGTGAAATATGGTACTCTTCTGTGATGCTTGAAGTGAACCGTCTTCATATTCTCTTAATCTTGGTGATTCTGGCCATCTCTTTCCATACATGAGACTGACCATGAATTTTCTTGGCAATGATTTTCCAGGGTATAGGGACTCACACATTCACACCTACGGACAATTTAACATCTCCATTTCATATACTGCATGTTTTTGGATTGTGGGGAAAACCCTCAACACAGAAAGAAATATGAAGGACAGTGTTCACCACCTGCCCTGGCAATGTAGATATCCATTCCTAAACAGATTCATTTTGGGCTTTGAAAATACATTTAGAGAAAAAGCTGGATAAAACATGGGGTTTATAGATATTGTAAAAACACACACACATAACAATGAATACAAGTATCTCAAAACAGCAGACAATGCTTGCCTACTGAAAATGCAAACAACATAGGCGGTGAACAGGTGAACTACCAAAAAAGCTAATCGACCACTGAAGCTGAGGTTGACTGAATAATAAACCCTTTAGTCAATTCGTTAAGCCTAAAATGTGAACAGCTTGTATACCCGTTGGACGTTAAATAAACGCAAAAAATATTTATTAAACCACTCTGATTTAGGCGTCGTAATCACGAACCGGTGACAAACACAAACACCTGCTCTTAATGGACATTTTAACAAGCGTTCGAGAACAACACAACTCTTGTGACTGCTATTTCTGATCCATCACTCCAAAAACATATTACTTGAAGGAAAAAAGACGCCACATACCTTCACCTGCCGAGCACGTGACGAACGCCGGATCTTCCCTCGTCTTCTTCACCTCGTCATCATTTGCTCTAGTTCGAACATATCTCGATCCACTGTTGTGTTTCAGAGGAGCACTGTCTAAACACACTCTAATCTGTGGCTCCCAATGTATTATGGCAATTACACAGACTTATAGACAACTAAAAAGACAACATTTCGAAAGGCATATTTTAAATAAATTAAACTTTAATATAAGGGTATGGATTAACTTTGAACACTGTTTATTACATTCTCAATACTGTTTTACACAACACATCCTTATATTTTGTTCATCTAAATAAATAGGCAAGGCTGTATCATATTGACATCTAAATTCATTCATATCCTGGAACCCATTTGTGTCAGATCAACATGTAGGCCTATACATTTTGATCCAATGGCATATTATAAAAACATTAAATAGTCTATCATTTCACTTTGACATAAAAAAAATAGTTTTGCTCATAACTTTACATATCCCTTGCAAAATCGTTTAAGACGTTTATCTTTTAAAAAATATAAAAGCGACAATAAAAATTGCATTTAGGTTTTTTTTAAGCTCTATGCTTTAATAACTAAAATTGCTCAGTGTAAATGCATATGGGGTATGTAAACAAGATATACTATCTCTCAAATGTACTCGCCTCCTTTTTTTTCATTGCTTTAAATGAACCAATACTGTCTGTGAAGAGTAGCAGGCATCATATCTGTGATTCCAGGTGTTTTTAAAACATCTTGTTTTTCTACTCCTTCAGTCGTGAGGGTAGATTTCTTTCAACCATTCATCCATAACAAACTTTTCTCCATCGAAGTGTGAAAAATAGCGTTCTAGAGTGGGAATCTCCGGCTGTGGCACAAGACAGGCACAAACACTGATTAAGATTAAGACTGATTTAGTCCAATAAATAACCTAGAAGACAAGGTGAACACAAAAGTTAAAAACACGTTAAGGATTTCTCTGCACCTCAAAGCCTTGAAGGAGATTCACGTTATTCTGGGGAATGTATCCGATCAGTAGTGATGAGGAATCAGGCCCACTGAACAGAATTCTGTAATGAGGAGTGTCCTTGGCTCTGTCAAGCTACATAAATACACATTTTTAGTGGACTAATGTTATATTTCTGTGGTTTCAGATTATGACATTGTTGTTGTTTTACAAACCTCTGAGTGTGAGAATTTCTTTCTCTTGATCCACTCTGGCGGAGCTCTGAGTCCTGCATCCCAGCCCACTATCACCCCAACCATTTTATTCTGTGTCTCCACGATAACTTGACCCACACGGTGCAGCACGTAAGCAGGCCTGGGGCTTCGCACCTCCCTTGAGACTGATTACATATAAACACATCTGTCATGTTCTGTTACTTCTATTTTTCCATCAAACAAACTTTAAATACCGAATTAAATGACTGCTGTGAGATTATTCAGAGAAATGACATGTAGGCCTACGTCCAAAGTAGCCTTGCTCATTATCATGCATCAACTTTTCGATTGCGAGTGCTTCTTCCAGAGTTGGGAACTGCTCCTCTCCCTCTCCGAAGGACCTGTAAAGTGACAAAACATCCCACCTCAGCATTTGAGCGATTCAGAATGACTTTAAAAAAAGAAAAGAAAGAAATTGCATAAATTCACGGTAGTGTAGGAATCCAGGTATTTAGCCAGTCGACCCAAGCAGTCGAGTTCAAGTAGGATCCTCTCATAGAGTCCCATGTGTCAAGGATGCTGAATATGAGATATGGAATGGAATATTTCAAAGAGTGACAACTGCAGAAGCCTATTGTCTCTTTCATTGAGAGATGATGAAGTACAGTAGTAAACATGCCGTTTCTGTAAATCTAAAAGCTTAAGCTTTAATGCTTATGCTTCTTTCTTCAGTCGAAAAGAAATTAACTTTATATAACTTTAAGAAAATAACTTTTTTATTTATTTTTGAAATGACCGCTCGTTTCGCTAGATAAGACCCTTATTCATCGACTGGTGTCATTTAAAGCCCTTTGAAGCTGCACTGAAACTCTCATTTGGACCTTGAACCGTTTGGTTCCCAATGAAGTCCATTATATGGAGAAAATCCTGGAATGTTTTCATCAAAAACCTTAATTTCTTTTTGAAGAAAGAAAGACATGGACATCTTGGATGACATTTTTAAAAGTGAACTACTCCTTTAAGTAAACTGGAAAATAAGCTAAAAGTTGATTTGAAAATATCGAGTGACCGACCATATGCCGGCAGTTGACCATGTCCATAAAATCCTTTTTTTTTTTCTTTTTTTTAAATAAAGATTTTAGGTTAAAAATATGAATGTAGCCTACTCTAACGCTTAAAAGTTTAGGGTTGGTAAGATTTTTAGAATGTTTTTGACACAAGATCTTATTTATTTGATCAAAAATATTAAAAACAGTAAAAATGTGAAATATTATACAATTTAAAATAGTGGAATTGTTTTATTACAATTTAAAACAGTTTTCTATCTTAGTATATTTTAAAATATAATTTATTCCTGTGATGGTAAAGCTGAATATCATAATCACTCAGTTACTATTCAGTGTCACATGATCCTTCAGAAAATATGTTGATTTGGTTCTCAATAAACATTTCTTATTATTAGTTCTTTACTGTTGAGAGTCTTTACTGTACTACTGGTCTTTTTTTTTTTTTTTTTTTTTTTTTTTTGCATCGTTGAAATCATAAAAGTAGACTATTCATTTACACACACACACACACACATAAATATATCTATAAACAATTTTGGTCCTATCTCTTGTTTAGTGTTTGCGTGATGTTGCGTGGTTACCTCCGCGTGGCGATGTGTCGTTGTGCCGCGGTGCCGCTCGTCCACCTGGAGATGAGATATTGCGCAGGTAAAGCTGACAACAGCACCGTCAGCTGCAAGATCACACCTGACGTGATTTGAGGCATCACTGTACAATTAATGACAGAGATTTCACATCACTACATGAGCACAGTAGCCTATGTCACTATTGTAATTTTAAAAGTATAAAATACGCCTGCCTGTATGGCCACACTATTAATTCAAAACATTGCACAGTTAAAAGTAGGCCTACCTTACCTTATGCAAGAACTTCAGTGAATATGATCACTGTCTGAATTCAATTCACTATTGTCAGAGATATAGGCTACTGCTACTATTTTTAAACTGATAACAGGAAGAGCTCGCCGAAACTCTTAGCTTGTTATGCGTAGTGTAAGCACTGTCTTGAAAACTGAATATGAAATTTACATGCGGGCAGTTTCGGTTTGACACCTGCGCCTCCGAGTTGAACAGTAGTAGCCTAGGCTACTATTTAGACAAGTGCGCGTCCAATAGCGGCTGCCCACGAGAGGAGGTGTGTGTACAAGTCTCGCGCCGCCACGTCAGGAAAGGATGTTTAGTTGTGGCAAGGATGTTTGGTTTGGTTTTAGGTTTTGTTTTCAAAACTGTATAGGCTACACCAGAGCCGTTGAAAAACATATTTAACGGCTCTGGGCTACACCGTGTAGCTATAGTAGACATTCCCATTCACAAGTCTGGTTTGTAGCATAGTGATTTAGTAATTGTTATTTTGTAGCCTAGTCATAATTCTGAGAAAAAAAATTTTCTTAAGATTTGATATAAATGTATTTAATATTAATATATTTAAAATAATTATAACTCATATTTATACCAGTTTTATTACCATTTTTATCTTAATATATACTTAAGTTTAAATATACATTCATATCTAGCAAAGAAAATTTAGTGGTTTATTTCACGCGCAGTTCCAAATAATGCACGACAGAGGGCGCTGACCTCCACGAAATGGTTTATCATCACCCATCCAATGGTTTATATTGTATCTTTACCATAATAAACTAAAAAATTGTTTATTTGTAGTTCTCATAATTTAGGAATTGTTATATATTATCAATCAGATGCATGTAAGATGCACCAATATTTTCATATAATAATTTAACTTCACACAATACAGCCTATATAGCTGAAGAAACATTGTAGGGCCAAGTACTAAATTCACAACAGAAATTACCATGTTTTGTTTTTTTAAAAGATATTAATATCTTTATTAATATCTATGGCTTTTTCAGGCCTGGAAATCACAATTGTAAATTTTGCCTGATACTTCCAGGTTTCCAAAGCAAAACATGTGAAAGAATAAAAAGAACAAGAGAGTTTGTGGAAACACAAATGTTTATTTCCTTAAAATATCAGTATGAACTAATGTGACAGCAGTACACCCTACACATACATTCTATTTAACGTCTTTATTTACACTTTTTCCTTTATATAAAAGTATACAAACTAACATAGAAAGACCTCTCAGTCTGAGGATATAAGACCGGAGAGGGGAAAAAAGACCCTGACCCCACAAACATGACTGTACCTTCAGATTTAAAAGACGGAGAATATACTAACATGCATCCATCTTTGATCTCCCCTCTAAAACCGGTCACTGATGTCACTTCCTGTGCAGTATGGTGGTAGTAATAGAGGGGTCGCGAATCAGATATAATACAGTTTTCATGTAGCAACAGATTATAAACACCAGCTCAATAAAACATGGGGCTTGTACATTAACACAAATACAGAAATGGACTCAGACATGCGTCAACTGCATATAAAACAGAAACTTTACCAAACAGTCTCGTACATAAACTTCCACAACTAAACACATTCAAAGGCTTTGGTTCACCAAACCAGTTTTAAAGCAATGGGCTGGATTAGCTCTGTCATAAATGGATGACCCAGACCACAACTGCTGAGAGTACGCAAGAACCTACAAAATCACATGGCAACAAACCAGACCGAATGCCTCCCTTATAAAGGAGACTACGCTGCATATATGTGAGTCCGGACATTAAGGTGGGATACACTACCTTAATTCTTCAGTTGTACATCGCACAGACATGTACGTACATACACACAAAAAGTCAAGGCACATTCAAAAACACAGAATACGACATGCACACTGCCTCTTGTGTGATTCGCTGCCCTGTGGTATCTATTGAGTCGATGCATCAGAATGGGAAATATCAAACACAGTGTTTCAATGTGATCAGGCAAAAACAAACGCTGATGAAATGAGCAGTAATTCAATGAGTTTACCTAATACAGAAACAGAGGCCTGCTCTCTGGGATAGATGAAACTACAGGTAAGAGTGTCGAAAAGTTGAGGCAACGAACGTCGCTACACACACACACTAATAATAACTCTGTAAATAGTGGTTTGTAAGAGTATACAGTGCCGACAAAGGTATTTGGACACTTGGGGAAATATCTAAAAATGTATTAATGTCATTGCATTAAATGTCACATTATCAAACTAAGTGGCATCTATTTTAAAGAAAGCTAATGTTTAAGCAAAATATTTGGATGTTAAATGTTGGTAAATAATCTGCTAAAACACCTGAGTGACGTTGAGGGGAGTCCTCAAAGTCGATTATTCAAATTAATTTAATCACATGATTTTCTAATTAATGAATCAAAGTAGTCACAAATAACTGCTTTCTGTTAAAAGCTTGGGGTCAGTGAGTTTTTTTGACAATGATAATAATTTCACTTAAATAGCAAATTAGAAGAATTTCTGAAGGATCATGTGACACTGAAGACTGAAGTAATGATGCTGAAAGGTCAGCTTTGCCTTTTATTATTTCACAACATTACTGTTTTTACTGGTCCAGTAAACACAGCCTTGGTGAGCATAAAATACTTCTTTCAAACACGTGAAAAAAATCTTACAGACTCCAAAATTTAGAAGAGTATTGTGTATTATTTGTTCAGAAAAGCCTCCAAATTAATGTGTTGTTTGTTTGAGACACTATCATATTAAAATGAGTAAAACTCTTTTAAAAATCTTTTCATTCATTTTTAAAATTACTCTTATTCAAAATTAAAATTATAATTATTCATTAATATAATCATACAATGAATCATTCCAAATTTACATATTACATTGTTAGCCATAGTTTCAAAGATTGCTAAAAAAAACGTTAGTTCTGAAAAGTTCTACCATAATTTGTTTGCAGATGCCCCCTAATTAGATATTTCATTCTCTAATGCAATGACATTCAGACATTTTAAAACGGTGGCTTTAGTGCTTAAACACTTTTTGAGGTCACTGTATTTATAAGTCTTGGTTCTAGTTAGGAATCACAGTGCATTCTGAGAGCCCGATAAAACAGGCAAGGAGTGATGTCACTATCTATGTCACACACACACACAGATCATGTGTGGACCCAACAGATCAATAACACACTTTTGTACTGAATAAATCAATACGCCAAAGCATCAATCACTCTCTATCACACACACACACAAATTGGGGAGTACAAACGAGCCATAATGTATTGAAAATATGAAAAGGCACAAGGTATTGCTAATTATATAAAAACATGCGTGAATTACCACTGCCACTGATCTTGACTTGCAGAGAAAGACGTTAAAAAGACAACACAGGAAATTTATGAGGTCCTTCTCTGCACTCCACTACAGCTTTACAGCCACTTACACAATGATCTGTTAAAAATAGATTTTTTTCGAACAAGTGTTTGATTTGTTGCCCTTAGCAACAACAACTGTGTAAAAACAATGCATAAAATTAACAGTTTAAAGAAACGAGACAGAGTAAAAGCTCAAGTTATTTCACACACTCTCTCTCTCTAACACACACACACACTCAACAATCCTCATAAGTGCTTTCTTGAGAGATGAAATCAGGTATTTGGATTCATAAGACTGTGTAAGTACCTTTCTTCACTGGCATTCAAATATAGTGCATATGAAAATCAGTATTTAACTGCATTTGTGATTTTACTGTGGAAGAAAATGTTGAAGTTGGGGGATGTCAAGGGGCTGTGACTCTAAGTCACCAGAAGAGTCAAAGATTCAAAACGCAATAATCAATTTAGAGAATGAAAGATTCAGATAATCGTGACAGTCTGATAGCAGCAGGAATGGTTCCCCCTCCCCAGCAGGGTGAGGATAAGGGGTTGTGTCGCATAGGACATGCAAAGTTGGCATTGTTACCAGCCAATAAGGTTGGCTTTGGCCTTCTCGGTGAGCTTGCGGACTCTCCCCTTGCTTGACGTGCCGAAAGTAATGGAGGCATCCTCAAACAAAAGCTGTCTTTGCTCTTCCTCAGAGTCTTCTTCGTTATAGAAAGCTGTCCTTCGGCCCTGGTTACGCGTTCTCATCTGCCCTTTCGAGCCCCCATCCTCTCCCGTATAAATGTCAGGCTCCTCGCTTAGGGCGGGGCCTGGCATAGGGGGTGTGGTCTCTTCGGTGCCACGCCGACTGCTCCTTCTGAGGGTTTTGGGGCTTGAAGGAGGTGGAGTATCCGTCGATCTGGTGATTCGTGGTCTTCCTCGTCGTTTCGGACTCTCTGGAGTCACTACTCCTGAATCTGAAAGACTACTGTCCTGGGCTGTAGAAGAAGCCCCGCCCTCATCACCAGTAGACAGAAGAAGCTCCTCCTCTTGGTCAGAGTCTCTTCTTAGGGACTCCAGGTCTTTCTTGCTTTTCCTCCCTCTCTTTTTGCCAGAGGCCTGGGGCAATGGGGGTGGCGGTACCACTGCTGGCGTCTGCATTTGTGCGTCTGATCTGGGTCTGCCCCGGCCTCTTCGTACCACTCCCACGGTCACTTGACTATGACCATTCAAATGCAAACTGTTGTGAGGCGGAGAGTTGTGATCCACTGGACCTTAGAGAGAAGAAGCATACAAGTATTTGTGCAAGTGTTTGTCACACTTTCATACATGGGGTGTTCACTTCGCAAAGACAGCAAAAGGGTGTTCGAGGCGCACGGCACATAATATACAATGCAGGGAGCGCGCAGCTCTTAAAGGGGCCACACCTTATTTCCACTCGTTACAAGTTGTACATTTGACTTCCCCCTCAGCCTATATTATAAGTGCTGCTGCTAATGTTTCAAGTATTTTATATAAGTAGTTTACCAGATAGATTATTATATGTAGGCTTAATATAGTGTAGGAAGGATAAGCCTACGCATATAGATTTTTATTTAAAATTGATTTTATGTTGATTAATGTTTCACATGCAACAGGTGTGCCAGGGCATAATTATTTTTGATGTATTTTAATTTTCTGTGCATAATTTATTTTGTTAAACTACATAAATGCCATTATTCTGTGACGTATCCCAACTGTTACAATAAAACATCAATTGAGCAATATAACATGCATTTTTATTCAGTATATAAGCAAGATTTAGCTTTTTATGTTAAAGGGATACTCCACTTTTTTTGGAAATAGGCTCATTTTTACCACTCCCCAAGATTTAAA